TGCTAGAAGTAAATTCATGTTCAATGGTTACTTTTGACACCGACATAGATAACACATGTCTAACTAGCATCTCGAGTAAAGGGCACATGTGTTCATTCCACTTCCACAATTCAAGAAACTTGAATTCATTTTCGTTTTCTTCATCGTAGTCGCATGGAATCAGACACCTTGGTACATCACAAGTTCGTTGTGTTAACTTATCGTTGTACCACTTACACTTATAGACGTGGAGCTAGTCTGTAATGCTTGTAAACGGACCTTAACGTTTTTAACTAACAAAAATGTTCTGACAATTATCTAATTGGTAATTTGACTAAAAAGAAAGACAAAATTAAAAGTGTAAAACCTTCATAGCCAAAAGTCGTAACGGTAAACATAAAGCGAGGTGAGCTTTGACCAACAATATCAATTATGAGGTTTTGGACTGTTACAAAAAATAATTTTTTCTACAAACAGAAATGAATATTGTCAAGCCGACGTCACATGCCACGGAAATTGGAAAAATAAAGGTGAAAACCTACTTGGACCAAAATCGAGTTAACACTTAAAAACAATTTGACTTGACGATAGTGCATAAATAGGCTTGAAATTTGGAAAGTCAATAAAAGGAAAATTTACTCGGAATTCAGTGCATGCTATTTCAGATGACAATCCACTTAATAAATATCAAACTAATTTCTTGGTAGAGGCGTTGAACAATGACAAAGAAAAGTTGTCATTGATCTTAAAGAATATTTAACTACGATGAATGAAGTTCAGCAAAATATATATAATGAAATAATGGAAGTCATGACAGCCAACAGAGGAAGTTTCTATTTTGTGTATGGTTAAGGTGGAACTGAAAAAATGTTTTTTTGTTAAAATCATTATTTTCTTCTCGATGGTCAAATGACAAGGTTGTCTTGAATGTCGCATCTAACTGCATTATAGCATTTTTTTGCCTAAGAGAAGGATAACACACTCGAGATTCTTAATCACTTTAGCGCTAACCGAGTGCTCATTGAGTGTCATCAAACAAGGGAGTCCGAAAGTAGACCTAATCCAACAAGTATAATCATATGGGACACGATGAATATATTTTCTTTTGAGGCATTGGATTGCATAATGAGAGATGTAATGAGGTTCGCTAATAATAACTTTAGAAATTAACCATTCGGAGGGAATTGAAAATAGTTCTACTCAAGGGTGATTATATCCAAATTCTTTTAGTCTTACTCATAGCTTTGAGAGAGGAAATTATAGGTGCTACCACCATATCCTCACAAATGTGGTTGCATTGTAAAGTTTATACGTTACCAAGAATATGAGATTCATTTATCTACACCCTCTTGCACAAATAAGGACACACAAGCTTTTTCTGATTGGATAATCAAAGTTGAAAAGGGAAAACTTGGACAAGTGATCGCTGGAACTACTGACGTTGAAATCCCGCTCGAATTCTTGATTCTTGACACAAGTTATCCCCTCAAGAGTATAATGGACTTCACCTATCCAAACCTATCAGAGAACATGAAAAATTATTCTTGTTTTGAGGGCAGTGCCCTATTAGCACCCACGCCTGAGTTTGTTGAATGGTAAATGAATTTGTCCTATTCCTTAAGTTCTGATTCTTCATGTCAAGCAGATTTAGATGTAGCTGTTAGAGATGATTGGGTAACTGTTGAGTTTTTTTAAATGAAACCAAATATTCAGGGATCCCAAACTACAAAATCCTTTTTAAAAAGGGTACCTATTATGTTATTGAAGAACATTGACTAAATATCTAGATTGTGTAACGGTAGCAAATTAATCGTTGAAGAGTTGCGAAAAAACATTATCAGTGCAATTGAAGTTTCAAGAAATTGAGTCGGGAAAAAGGTTTACATACATTACGTGAATTTGGTACCATCTTATTCAGGACTATCCTATAATTCTTGAGAAGACAATTCTTAATAGTCTTATATTTTGCTATGACTATTAACAAATGTCAAGGTCAACATTATCTTTTGATGTATTAATTTTAACCAATTCAGTATTTACTCATGGAAAACTTTATGTTACAGTTTCATGAGTGAAGACAAAAACATGATTAAAGATATTTGTTCTAGATGACAATGGAAACCTTTACA